ACAAAGATGTAAATATAGTGAAAATAGAGCTCAAGAAAATCCTGATAATAAACATGTAATGAGTTAGAATTACAAAGATGTAAATATAGTGAAAATAGAGCTCAAGAAAATCCTGATAATAAACATGTAATGAGTTAGAATTACAAAGATGTAAATATAGTGAAAATAGAGCTCAAGAAAATCCTGATAATAAACATGTAATGAGTTAGAATTACAAAGATGTAAATATAGTGAAAATAGAGCTCAAGAAAATCCTGATAATAAACATGTAATGAGTTAGAATTATAAAGACGTAAATATAGTGAAAATAGAGCTCAAGAAAATCCTGATAATAAACATGTAATGAGTTAGAATTACAAAGATGTAAATATAGTGAAAATAGAGCTCAAGAAAATCCTGATAATAAACATGTAATGAGTTAGAATTATAAAGACGTAAATATAGTGAAAATAGAGCTCAAGAAAATCCTGATAATAAACATGTAATGAGTTAGAATTATAAAGACGTAAATATAGTGAAAATAGAGCTCAAGAAAATCCTGATAATAAACATGTAATGAGTTAGAATTACAAAGATGTAAATATAGTGAAAATAGAGCTCAAGAAAATCCTGATAATAAACATGTAATGAGTTAGAATTACAAAGATGTAAATATAGTGAAAATAGAGCTCAAGAAAATCCTGATAATAAACATGTAATGAGTTAGAATTACAAAGATGTAAATATAGTGAAAATAGAGCTCAAGAAAATCCTGATAATAAACATGTAATGAGTTAGAATTACAAAGATGTAAATATAGTGAAAATAGAGCTCAAGAAAATCCTGATAATAAACATGTAATGAGTTAGAATTACAAAGATGTAAATATAGTGAAAATAGAGCTCAAGAAAATCCTGATAATAAACATGTAATGAGTTAGAATTATAAAGACGTAAATATAGTGAAAATAGAGCTCAAGAAAATCCTGATAATAAACATGTAATGAGTTAGAATTACAAAGATGTAAATATAGTGAAAATAGAGCTCAAGAAAATCCTGATAATAAACATGTAATGAGTTAGAATTATAAAGACGTAAATATAGTGAAAATAGAGCTCAAGAAAATCCTGATAATAAACATGTAATGAGTTAGAATTACAAAGATGTAAATATAGTGAAAATAGAGCTCAAGAAAATCCTGATAATAAACATGTAATGAGTTAGAATTATAAAGACGTAAATATAGTGAAAATAGAGCTCAAGAAAATCCTGATAATAAACATGTAATGAGTTAGAATTACAAAGATGTAAATATAGTGAAAATAGAGCTCAAGAAAATCCTGATAATAAACATGTAATGAGTTAGAATTATAAAGACGTAAATATAGTGAAAATAGAGCTCAAGAAAATCCTGATAATAAACATGTAATGAGTTAGAATTACAAAGATGTAAATATAGTGAAAATAGAGCTCAAGAAAATCCTGATAATAAACATGTAATGAGTTAGAATTATAAAGACGTAAATATAGTGAAAATAGAGCTCAAGAAAATCCTGATAATAAACATGTAATGAGTTAGAATTACAAAGATGTAAATATAGTGAAAATAGAGCTCAAGAAAATCCTGATAATAAACATGTAATGAGTTAGAATTACAAAGATGTAAATATAGTGAAAATAGGGCTCAAGAAAATCCTGATAATAAACATGTAATGAGTTAGAATTACAAAGATGTAAATATAGTGAAAATAGAGCTCAAGAAAATCCTGATAATAAACATGTAATGAGTTAGAATTATAAAGATGTAAATATAGTGAAAATAGAGCTCAAGAAAATCCTGATAATAAACATGTAATGAGTTAGAATTATAAAGATGTAAATATAGTGAAAATAGAGCTCAAGAAAATCCTGATAATAAACATGTAATGAGTTAGAATTACAAAGATGTAAATATAGTGAAAATAGAGCTCAAGAAAATCCTGATAATAAACATGTAATGAGTTAGAATTACAAAGATGTAAATATAGTGAAAATAGAGCTCAAGAAAATCCTGATAATAAACATGTAATGAGTTAGAATTATAAAGATGTAAATATAGTGAAAATAGAGCTCAAGAAAATCCTGATAATAAACATGTAATGAGTTAGAATTATAAAGATTTCACTTTACACCGGAGACCAATGAGGGTTGAGACCAATGAGGGTTTTTTTTCAATGGAGACCATTTCCAATTGGGCGTCTACTTAGAAGATCATAAACAAATCCTTCGGGAAGGGTACGGCCTTGAATTCATGTTAGAGCAACTTGTTGTCTCGCCAATTGTTAAAAAGATGGGAATCGGCGTATCGCTTGTGCAAAACCTATGGGCATCGGCAAGGAGCTTGTGCAAAACCCGCGCTTCGCACGGGGTCTTACCGCTCTTTCTGTCGTTTCTAAATTGCAATTTAATAGCTGCAAATTGTGTGAAAGTAAAAACGATTTTTTTGCTCCATATAGGTCCTTAATTTATGTTTAAGGGGTACGTGTACAAATAATGTTTTTGAAAACTTATTTTGATATGATCAATTCATTATAGGTATAAATTCATAGAAGTTCGATCGAAAAAATAGGAACCGTTTTTTTAATATCGTTATGCCGGATTTAGGGTTTTAAATTTTTTTAAACCTTTTTTTTGTCATAATACTTTAGTAAATTAAACTAAGTCCATTTACCGGACCGCATTTTTTAGGCAAGACATTTTTTGCACGTTCCTTTCTCCAATGCTAGGGTTTTTTTCTAAATTATTTCGCATCTATGTATATATCACACCAAGCTTACATTTTTAAACAACTATTCCTGAATTTCGTACACGCTGTCTAGAAAAAAAACATTAAGCTAATTTCTTTGAAGAAATTTACTTAGATAAGGTAAATTTTTGAGTAAAGAAAATTTATAAAACCAAATTCATCTCTGAAAATTTTCAAATCTTCTCTATGATAATAATACAAATTTCCTAGAAGTCTTTTTATACTTCAACCCTCTGTTTTTCATTCAAACTCGACTGATATGCTTAAATCTCCTTAATTTTTCAAAACCCTTTGATATAAGTACAATCAATCCACGGTTATTCGCTTTAGTTCTCTAAAACCTGGGAGCAGGCCAGTATACCGCGAGCACAGTATACCGCCGGGCTATAACTTCGTTCAAAATTGTCTAATCCGGGAGGCCCTGGTATGGTTCGATTCAGCTCGTTGAGGCGCATCGAACCATACCAGGGCCTCCCGGATTCGACAATTTTGAACGAAGTTAGCACGGCGATATACTGAGCTCGCGATATAACGGCTGTACCCCTAAAACCTTTGTTATTACTTTAAATCAATCTTTATCTTTGCTAACCACTTTTTAATATCAAACTTTAATATTAATTCTAAATCACTGTTATTCGCCTTAATCCTTCAATATCTGAAGTGAACAAACTCTTGTGATATAAAATTATCTTCTCCTGGATTGGGCAAATCCTTATATCTCAGCCCAAACTTGTCCTATCACAGTGATTTTGATGTCATTCGACTCAGCTCGAGGAGTGGAACATAACAAAATATTTTAAACAAGGTTAATTGGCACTGTTTGAGAATTAGATATTTTAGGACCAGGGACGTCTTCCCTGGGGTGTATGTAAGGTTGGAGGTGTAATGATGGACATTATCCAAAAGGTTAAAGGGCAAAGTTAAATCTCACATTTTCCCTTTTCAATAAATACATTTTCGCCCGTATTATTCACCTATTTCAGTCTAAGTTAGCACATATTTTATTAATTATATTGCTTGCTTTTCCCTATGAATAGAGACGCTTGATATCTCGCGTGTATTAATATCTGTGCCTAGGCAAGCCAGAGGATCTGATCAACCCTTGGGGCTTCCCGATAGGATTTAGGTTTCTCTTGAATTGAATCCCATCAAATTCACCAAATAGAGTGGCCCATGCTAGCACGTACCACAAAAAGCGTGCTGTGTTATTAATTATATCAACCCCCAAAAAATTTTCAGCCTTTATAAACGATAATGTTTTTAGTCCCAGTGTCTGAAGTATTTAATGAAATTGAAAACTATTCCAGCCCCTTCTACTAGAAGACGTATTTGATTATATTAAAAACGTATTTGATTTTGAATATAAAAGCTAAACAAATATAAACTAGCTAAAATAAATGGAGGAATCGTTAATCCAGATAGATAAATGGTTATTCTAGGAATAAATTGCGAACGCTTTTAATTTTTATTTAAAAGTTTAAGAATCGAAATTTTGACCCAAACTCGATTAATCTTTAGTAACTTTATTTGGCTGCACTCGTTTTCGATTTAACTTTTTCTTTTCCATTAATATTAAATATCAAAACAATAGTTTTTTTTAGGTATTTTCAATTAATTAATTCTCAAGCTTTAATTATCCTTTTCAATGTTCTATAATTTTTTATGTTTTTAATTTTAAATATTAATTTACTATTATTACAATTATTATTTTATTTTTTTATTTATTTTGTTTTTATTAAACCCCAAAAATTACCACCAAATATTGCAAAACCAACAAATCCTTGTGCAAATAAAGGACGTTTTTTGAATGTTTATTGTTTGGCTGATTATAATTGCAATAATTTAAATAATAAAAATATTATTAAAGTAAAATAATTAATTAATTTTTGGAAAAAAATATTAATTTTGTTTGAAAAGGTCTGTATTCGGGGCCTTTGTTGTACACAAACAAAAATAAAAAAAGAAATGGTTAATAAACAAAGTTTTGAAGATAGAGGGAAGTTAAAAGTTTTTATTTGGTTTTTTAATTTCTTTATTTTCTTGCTTTCATTCTTAATTATTTTAATTCAAAAATTATTAAGTAAAATTTTAGTAAAAATTTAAATTAATTTTAGGTTGTCCCAAGAATGCATTTAATGTTGGAATTCAATGTTTATCAACTAAAGACTGCCAAATTAAAGCAAATTTAAATTTAAAAGTTCCATTCTCTTTATTAAAATGTTCAAAACAGATAGGAATGTGTTGCACAAATGAAGATTATTTAAAACCTTTGACGAAAGGCATTTGGTGTTTAAATTGGGGGAAGGCTTTGGGAAAGGTAGAAAAAAATTAAGAGAAAAATTTTTAAACAAAATTTGGAATAAAAATCAGAATTGTAATAAAAGGAATGGGAGAGATTAAAATTAAAAATCAGAATTTTGAACTCTAAAAATAAGTATGAAATCAGATTTTAATTTAGGAATGCACTACAAATAATGAATGTAAAAGTTTCAAAAGGCCGCAGGCTTCTTGTGTTGATGGGGAATGTTGTACTCGTCCGAGGGAAGTAATTGAAGAGGAGAAGGAGGAAGGTGAAAGTGATTTGATTTTGAAAGAATCAAGTGAAGAAAGTGAGGAAAATGAAAAAGAAAAGAAGAAAAATAAAAGTAAGGAGGAGGATGAAATGGGAAATGAAGAAGATAAATATGAAGAGGATTTTGAGGATTTTAAAAGTTTGGAGTCTGGTGAAGATTTGGAAGAAGATTTTGATAGAGGTGGAAAATAATTTAAATTTTAGTAAAATTTAAAGATAAAATTGAAGATTCAAATGACGATATTGATGTAAATAATCAGAATAAATTTATGACAAAAGAATTAAGTGAAGGACGAAGAATTTGTAGGTAAGATAAATTTAAATATGTTTTGAGTAATAAAAGATTATTTTAAAAAAAAAGTATAGTTAATTGTAAAAAAAATCAGTAAAAAATTATTTTCTTAGGGGTGGGGGGAGATTTATGAAAAATTATTTGCTTAATAATTAATATTTTTTAAACTATAATTTATAAATTTATTTATAAAATCACCAAATTTTTTGTATTTAACCGGCCTCTTTAAAATACTTTTTATTTAAAACCTACACCAACGGTTAGTTAATTCTCCCTCTTTTTCAAGGAGTAAAGGCCTTCTCTACAAAAAAGTTCGAAGATGTTCTCCAAATTTAACTTGTGGAAATAAATATATATTTTTGTGTATTTCTGGTCATTGTTGTTTAAAAAAAGAGGAAAATTATGAGGAGGATTTAAATGAAGGTAGAATACCTTTTGCCCCTTTCGGTTTTTGTCTTTTAACAAGAAAATATCGAAGATTTATTGGAAGATTATGTAATAAAATATCAGATTGTCCCAAAGCTTTTGATGTTAATAGAAAAAGAGTGCCGATTCGTTGCTTGAGAGGTTTGAATTAAAAATTGGATTTTAAGGATTGGAAGTTATGGAGAGGGAGAAATATAAATTAATTAATCTTAAGAGAATTTTTACGTCTCTCAGTTTTTGTAATTAAACAGCCATCGGGATCATTTTTATAATCCAAATTTTCTCGTTGCCAAGCATACCCATATTTATTAAATACACCGGGCAAGTCTTTAATAGAAATATTTTTTTGGGGGACTTTTTTACAAATTAAACTAAATTTAATATCTGGACATAAATTATATTTTAAGGAACACTCAGTTAATGATCAAATAATTTAAATTAATGATTTAATAAAGAAGTAATTTTTAGGAGCATGTTGTGCTTCTATGAGTCAAAATAAAAATGTTTGGAATAAAAAAAGTAAAAGAAATAAACTTGGAAATGTGGTTGAAGAAGAGGATAGTTGGATACTTCCTCAAAAACAAAAAAATAATGGTTAAAAATATTTAATTTAAAAATAATTAATTTAAAACTGACATACCCATGGGGTGTAAATAAAATAAAATATTTAAATCGAAAAAGGATTTAAAATTAAAAATTTAAAAAGGTTTTTGTTTTGATGGAACACCAAGCAGAACACAATGTATTAGTCAACGTGATTGCCCAAACTATAATAGACAAATCTGCGAAAATGGAATTTGTTGTTCCCCAAATATGATCAAAAACAATGTAAATAATAAATTCTTTAAAAAAATTTCTAAAAATTTTTTTTATATGCCTGTGGTGGTTTGCCGAGTTCTGGTCAATGCAACCATCTTTTAGTGGGATTATCTGCAGGTGCTGGTTGTAAATTGAATTTTTATTGTGTTCCGCCCGGTGTTTGTTGTGAATGTAGATTTGGAATGCCTCAAAAAGGGATTAGAGGGTGTACTGATAATAATCAAGTAAATTAAATTTTTGAATTTATTTTGCATGTAAAAACAATCAGAAAAACAAAGAAACAATTAAAGAAAACTAGAAGTTAAAATAGAATTTACTATAACAGATTTTTAAAATTAAAAATAATAAATTTAGGACAGCATTTCCGTTAAGGGATTTATTTTTTATTTAAATATTCCTTCAACTTTTTCAGTGTAAATCCGGCTATAAATGTGAGAAACGGAATGGATTTTGCTGTCCACGATGTCCGGAAGGAAGAATGCCTTTTGGGAGTTGTTACAAAGGAAAATGTGCAAAAAATTATTTTTGTAGTGTTGGAAATATTTGTTGTGAAATAGAAGAGAATTAATAATTTAATTAGAGATTAGCTTGAGAAGATTAAAATTCAAAAAATATTTTTAAAACAACAAACACACTTTTCTCGGTCCAATCTCTAAATAAAAGTCTTGTCTAATTTCCTTCCAATTTTGTATAAAACATTCTAATAAATTCCAAAACAACTCCATTACTCCATCCAAACCCTGACTGAGGGGGATATTCCCCTCCAAATCCAGTTTGACCATCTTCAAACCGAACATCATATTTCTCCCACATTTGGGCAGGCTTAAAAAGTTATTTAAATATATTTTTAATTTTCATTGATCAAAAAACCTTTCCTTTTTTTGGATTAAAAAATCCATTAAATGTTGTCGTTAAAAATCCATTAACTATTTTATTTGCAATATTTTTGGCTTTTGTATTGTTTTTGCAATTTAAAAGGCTAACAACAAATAAATGTTGTTGTGGAGCCCATCCATTGGGGAAGTCCCATTGCTCACTTGAATTACGTTCCATAGATGAAGGAATTCCTCCTAGAATTTAAAAGATTTTCAGGCAGAAAGCTGGTTTCCCTCTAATAGGTTCCCCATTCCCCACCCCACAAGGAAGGAAAAGCATAAGCCTCATTCCCTCCTCTAAATTCCCCTCATTTAAACCTTTAAATTCAAGTGCTCCACTTTTGTACAAATAATTAACAATTCTATCACAAACATTATTCGGCCTATTCTCCAAAAGAAGAGGGTAAATATTGCTCGGGTAAAATTTATTCCTTAATTTTTTCTCAACCAAATCCAAATCATACCAAACTCCATCTTCTTTGCTATATAAAACTTGATGAATTGAATCCGTCAGATTCTGTGCCATTTCTTGATAATATTTTGCTTTTCTGATTTTTTTGTAAATTAAATTTATATTTTAATAAATTTTGTCGGAATTTTTTTTGGACGTTAGCAAAGCTTATTAGAAGAAATAGAGGCAATGTTTTGATTTTTTATATTAATTTTAAGGTGATTCTTAACTTCACATTACTTTGTTAACATAAAGACTAGAGAATCAAATAATTTTTTAAAGTTGGCACTCGTTATATTTGTTATAAATACTCGGTGCCGAAAACTTCCAAAAGGGCAATGGAAGATCATTTATTTAATTTACTTACTCATTTTGGCCAATTTCTTTACTTAAATTAGCCATTGTCCAATAATTCATAGCAATAAAAACATTTAAATCTACAGGCAAAACTTTATTTGTTGAAGTCCTAACTCTACTCATTTCATTTCCCCCTCCTCCTTCCACCCTTACATTTTCTGTATTATTCTTCCAATTATACCACCGAGAAGAAAAGTCAATTCCAGATTCACAAGCACTTGCTGTTGAGGACCAAAAGAATAAGGGCTGTTTACTTTGAATTCCAAGTTGATAATCTTCCAAAAAATTCTCTGAACGGGGACAGTTAGTTTTTGTCTAAAATTTTTAAATTCTCAATGATTTTTTCTTAAAATTTATTCCTTTCCCCACCTTATATTGAAACATTAAATAATTTTTCCCTTTAAATTCAAAAATAATTGAACGATTCTGATTCCACCATTTAAGCTCTTTTTCGGCTAGAGGTAAAAACTCTTGAAGAAAACTTTTATTTTTTGTTATATCAAAATAATCTTTAATCATTTGAGTAAAAAATGGAGGTTGGCTTCTTCTCGATAATCTTTTTTTGAGGAAAAAATTATTTTTAAATTAAAAAATAATTACTGAATATTTCCTGAATTTGGAATAAATCCATGGTAATTTAATATATGAGCAAAATTTTTTAAAACGCCGTAAGAAGTTTCAATCAAATTTGAAAAGTAAAGACCTTAAATTTTTGAATTATATGTATTTAGAAAAATATTTTTTGTTTAAAGTCATTCTGATTAATATATAGTAGCAATCCCTTTTAAATATTAGTAGCAATCCGATCCCCGAACCCCTGACGATTTTTTGTGGCAAAAACCCTAACCAGAGCCCCGAACTAACCCGACAAACAACAATCCCCGACAATCCGTCTTCGAAGGGGTCGGGTTGCTCCTCTACTTTTAAAACAGATTTTCTTGTTGTAAATAATAATTATATATTTATTTAAAAATATTACCTTTCAATATCCAGTAAGTATCCCAATAAAAGAAAACTTTAAAGAAACCACCAGGTACTAAAAATCTGTTTGGAACAGAAAGAACAGGGTAAAAATGTTGATTTTTGTGAACATCATCAATGAATTCTCGTGAAAGTAAAGGCCAAATTTGATGTAAAGCAACAGCAAATTTTCTTTATTTTTAAATTAATTAATTAAAAATTAAAATTATCTATTTAATTACTTCCATTTAGGGTCATTAATTAATTCAAAATTTTTAGGATTTGGTTGCCAATCAGTCAAATTGGAAGGTTTTATATAATCTGTATTTGCAAAATTTTCTTCACAAAATTGCATAAAATCTCCTTTTTTGATTACTTTTCCTCGAATAATTCTTTAAAAATAATTTAAATTATTTTTAATTTAAATAATTAAATGTTGAGTTATTTAAAATATTTAAATGTGTAGAAATGTTCAAAACTAAAAATTTTCTGAGAGAAAAAATATATAATTAATAAACTAAATTCTAAGTGAACTAAGGAAATTTTCAGCAATTAACTCCCGTTTATAAGCCTATCAGAAGATTATTCAAATTAATTTCTTAACAAATATTTTGGAGATACCATAAAATTCTATATGTCTCTTAACAAATATAGATTACAAACTTGCGGAAATTTTTAAGAATTTCATTTGGTTCAAGAAGAAGTTTTGTGCCAGGGCATTGATGTTGTACTCCAAAATACCAAGCCGAACTAATTAAAGGACCTGAACAATAAATTGGGGCTAAAGGCCCTTCACAAATTGGTTCTGAACAATTTGTAATAAATCCAGGGGAAGGCTGTTGATAATTATTTGTTTCTTTTATTGTAAATTGCTGAGGGAAAATATTTTGTTTTGAAATATATTTTTCAAATAAATTATAATTAATTTTATTATTATTATTTTTGTGGAGGGTATTAACAGGGAATATTAAAAGAATATTTAAATGTAAAAATAATAATAAAAAATAATTAAAAAATATTTTTATTTGAGACATTTTTTTGAAATAAATTAGAGATAATAATTTCTATATTTTTAGGGAAAACAAATTAATTATTACGGGGTTCTTTGATAAAATTGATAAGAAAGTTAAATAAAAACTGTGTGGACTTTAATTGTAGAGAAAAAGGAAGTTTTTCCATTAAAAATATTTTTACACGAATTTGCTTTGACATTTAAAATTTTTTGAACAAAAAATGAGGGAAAAAGCCCCTTCGATTGAGGCATACCTTTGCGTCATAAATTTAGGAAAATGATTGGGAAAATATTCCAGATGAGGAATGTTTCCCCAATTTTTTTGGTCAATCCTAATGTTTTTATGTTTAATGAGAGACGACTTAGTCACATTTTTTATAACAAATGTAGCTGAATCCCAACAATTTTTTTAAATTTAAAAATGTACCTTTTCCTCAATACTAACAAATTGTAAAGTAAATTCATTATTATTATTTCCCAAATAATTAATGTAAACTTCCTTTATTTCAGATTTTGTTGTAAAAAATACAAATTCTTTTCCATTTTTCCATTTCAAAAAATTAATTAAAGCAAAAATAAAAATTAAAATAAAAATAAATCCCAAAATAATATAGAATAATAGCCAATGTTTTTTTCGTAAATTTATTGGCTGAATATGCATATAATGATGACCTTAAATGTTTGAGAAAATTAAAATTTGAAAAAATTACTCTTTTCCAGTTTTTGAGGGAAAACATAAGAATATTTTACTTCTAATTTATCCGTTTTCTCCTCTTCCAAATTAATTAAAAACACGTTCCTTTAATTGAGGAAATTGAGAAGAACTCCGTTTAATTTAATTAATTATTTCCAGTCAATTACTTCCCCAAATATTTTAGTGAATTTAATATATTTTTTAAATAAAAATTATTCTTATAAAAAATTTAAATAAATTTATATGTGAAGAGGGGAATGATAGAGAAAATCAATTTAAAATTTATATGACGTGGATATTTTAAATAAAAAAACTTAACATTTTTTTGTTTTTCGCTGAATATTGTTGTTGGCTATTAAAAATAAATCGAAGTATTTTTAGTAAGATCAAAAACATTTACGTAAAATTATGTAGAGAATAAAATTGAATAAAAATAAAAATAAATTATAAATAAATTTAAATAAAAAATTAATTTACAAAGAATTGTTGTTGAAATTTGCATCTGTAAAACTGAAAAGGATAATTAAATAAATAAACAGTTAATTGTAAGAATAAATAATGCTTTTGGAATAAAACAGATCCCGAAATCGTAAATTTATTTTTCATGACGGCTAGATCCCTGATATATGTATGTACGTATACATACTAATAATATTTATTTCATTAATTATATGTATTTTTCTGCCAGCTTTAATTTTTTTAATACATATATCCCACATATCCCAGATATTCTGCCATATACTTCTTCTTTGCTATATACAATAAATATATGTAATAAATATTGACTATTTTGCTATCTTTATTTTTCTATTTATTTATTTTCCTCATTCTTTCCTTTTGATCATAAATACACTTACTATTATAAAAAATAATTCTTGTTCAAGATTAATTTTATATTAATGAATATTATTATTCCAATTAATTTTTCTTATTTATTTTTCAACTTTTTTCTTCTTCTAAATTATATTAATTGTTTAAATATTTTACAAATTGTGCCAGGCTTCACAAATTCTCATGTTTTATTTAATTATAGACTTGCGGAAGAATTGACTAAATTAGGGCATTCTGTTGTTTTATGGACACAAATGGAAATGAATATGGTGTAGGTTATTCTTAAATTGAGAAGAATTAGTAATTTTGTTATAAATAAAATAAAAGTTTGTAGGGATAAAGTTATAATAAATATAGATTGTGGCAGTCTCAATACCTTAAATAATTCTTGTCCTATTTCAGTTTTACAGGAGACTTTAAATTGCCAGATGGTGTTAACGAGTAAGTTTATATATTAAATACTGTCTTTATAATGTAGTAAATACTCAATAGAATTCGTGAGTCTATTCAATTCAAGGATAAATTGAAAGTTGAGGGACTGAAGGTATTTAATTTTCAATTACGAAGCACAATCTTTATGGGCATCTACAAAATATATTTAAGAGTGAAGCGTAAAACTTATATGTTTGTAGGCAAAATTATTCAGATACGTATGCCCCTCCAATTGTTACTTCCATTATTTTAAATTAAAATAGTAATGTTTATAAATTTTCATTATAAAGGTTTTTCAAGAAATGATTTTTGAGAGTGGCACTCCTTATGAACTTTGGTGGACCGGCAGAGAATTTAAAGTATTAACAAATAAAACTCAATAAAATTTTAAGAAATTGTCAGGAAATGCGTTTAGAAGCATGTGAACAAATGCTTGGAGAAGGACGTGCAAAATTGCTTTCCTCTGTAAAATACCAAAAATTTGATTTGGCAATTGGGCATTTTCATGATTTGTTTGTTGTTTTTAATGACAAAGAATTATTATCTAAATTTTGTTAAAGTTGTCCAGTAGCTATGGCTCGTTCTGTGGGAGTTTATAGAGTAAATTATAAGTATAAAATGATAAAAGACAATTTATTTTATTTTTCACAGATGATTTGGATTACTCATGGCCCTTCACTTTATGATTTTACTTCTTTATCCGTACTCTTCCTTTCTAACGTTTAATTTAAATACCCTTATTTTCAGTTTGGTCTACGAACATTTCCTTCATTTGTTCCACATCCTCTTTCCTTCAATTCAGACAGAATGGTTTGAATATTTTTTATTTTGGAATTAAAGTTTTATTTTAAGAATTTTTTACAACGTTTAATTAATGTTATCTGGCATTTTTCTGGTATAGAATTTGTAAATCTTCCAAATGGTTTTCTTAATCATTTAAGAATTTCAATTATTATTCTTTTTCAGTTTTACTTCATGAAGAGAATTCCTTATACAAAAAATGTTTTTTTTCGAAATTATTTTTTAAAAATTTATTTTTAAAAGTTTTTCCAAAATCTAAAAATCTTTGGAGTGTTGGTCAACAAGTTTCTGTTCTTTTATTAAATGGAGAACGTTTCCTAGATTTTCCAAGGCCATTACCTACATTTATTTTAAATTTGGGTTCACTAGCTTCTAAACAACAAAAGTTAAATAAATTAATTTTGGATTCAGAGATTGAGTCTATTTATTCGAAGAAGGGAAGTAAAGGTTGGTTGAGGGCTTTGCATGGCCCTAACTTTATGATTTTCATAAAGTGTAGGGATAGATCCACCTCAAAATATATTGGACATTTTTAACGAGAGTAAAACAATTTTATTTTAGGTGTTGTCATCTTTTCAATGGTTTCTATTATGCGTTTTACATTTTAATCATAACTGGAATTTTTAGTCAATTAAATACTACAAGTAGTTGGGTAAAATAATCACAAAAATCCAAAAAAAATTTCGTTATGCCGACCCAAATAAAAAACTTCCTTTGACTAAAAATCCCATCCTTAATTACAATTAACTTTTGGCTATTAATAAAAGGGGACAGTATCAAACACAACAAATATGCCTTTGCGAATGACCAAAAGTTTTTTGAATGCATTTGGTCGAATTTCTGAATATGATTTTTTGTGGAAGACTGAACAAACAGAGATTGAAGGGATTGAGGTGTTTAAGAATGTCCATTTACGTCGATGGATTAATCAAAAAGAATTAATTAGTTTGTTAAAATTAATTTTTTACAAAATCTCCTTGACAAAGTAACAAATATCTTAGGAGATTTACTATTTGATTTAAGGAAAATTTTATTTTGAGAGCCTATAATTATCAAGTAACTCTTTGGGTATTTTTTGAGTTATAATTTGTTATTTGGAAGGAATTCTCTTCTATTTTAGGCCAAGAAAGAAAAGTCCCTCGAGATAGGTTTAAAATAAAACGTTTCGAATGCAGAAATCTCTCCTAAAAATAAAAACCTTTTTAAAATTAATTTCCCTAATTAAAAACTCTTTTCCAAAAGAGCATCCAAAAACTCGTCTTTTATTTGCCCATGGAGGTTATAGCAGTTTTCTTGAAGCCGCAAAGACAGGAATTCCTATTTTGCTTGTCCCTCTCTTCGCCGATCAAGGCATTAATGCAAAACGGGCACAACGGTTTGGGATTTGTGAAATTCTTGACAAAAAAACTTTAAATGATAAAATTGTTGAAGAATTACTTCGAAAAATGCTTAATGATGATCGGTTAAAAATTGTTGTATTTTTGTTATTTATTTAAATATTTTTTCAGTTATTATAGAAATGCACGCAAACTTTCGGTATTTTAAAATAATTAATTGTCAAAGGAATATTCACATAAATTCAATTTTTCTAGGCAATGCTTGCAGACAACCCCCCTTCCTCCCTTTCAATGCCTTCCTTAGAATATGGTTTAAGGTTGGCAGTATCATCAAAACCCGATTATTTTTCTCTCAAATCAGCCCAAAAACTTGGATTTTTAGAATATTTTAATGTTGATTTAATAATTATTATTTTTATTTTAATTTATTTTTTGTCTTTTTGAAATTAATTAATTTATAAAAAAATACAATTAAAAAATTATTTTGTAAGAAATATTTAGTAATATTTACAATTTAAATAGTGCAAATAAATATTTAATTTAAATTTACATTTTCGTTTAAATTCCTCCTTTCATTAATTCACTTTATTTATTATTCAGTTGATTTTAGGACTGAGCAATTCCTTTGGGTCTAATCTTGTTTCTAACGAGTCGGTTACTGAATAAAATTTTTTATTTTAAGAAAAGATTTTTTGATAAAATTGTTCTTTAAGGGTTCTTTTGGCAACAAAATTTTGCAATTTTTCCTTTCTTTAAAAAGTTAATAATTGGCAGACTTGCTTCCTTCTTTAATTTCATTTTATTTTTCTATGGCATTCATTTACTCAATAAAATTAGAAATTTGACACATAAGAAATGAAAGAAATATTTTTATAAAATAAAACAAACAAAAATTTTATATCTTCCCATCTAAATGAAAAATCCTTGCAAATACATAATTTCGAATAGTATTTGCAGGGATCTCCTTTTTCTAATCCTTCATTGAGTAATTAAATGTCATAGGAAAATAAAATAAAATTGAGGAAAAAAGTTCGCTTTTTGAGGAAGGAAAACCAAAAAATCGGCAAAACAGAAATTATTACCTATATGAAAACAAAATTGAAAGGAATTTTTTTGAAAAGGGATTTTTACATTTGTGAATTCTTTCAATTTACATATCCTTCCATTTTTTAAATAAAAAATTGTTTTTTTGTTTTCTAAGCCCAAATTTAAATATTTAAAAAATTAAAACCTAATTGGTCGATTTTTGGCCCCAAAGAAAGTGAAAGAACAACCAAAACGATAGCAATTACCTTAAATATTTAATAAATTAAACGTGCGTTTTGATCTTTCTAAAACTTTTTAAACTTAAGAACTAATATTTTCTTTTTTTTATTAGAGCCAGAACTCTTCAAAAAAATTTTTTTGGTATAACTAATGTGTAGTGAAGTAGAACAATTTAAGTTTTTCAAGGGAATTTGGTCATAATTTTGTTTATAATCATCGTATCAATTTAAGCTTGGTTCAGATATACAATAAATAACAATAAATTTCACGTTTTTTAAGCTCGAAAAAAAGTTTTAGTGAAAACAAAATTCGTTCTATATTTTATTTTATAAAAATTAAATACAAACCGTTAAAAGAACTGTTACAAAAATAATTACACGTTTAAGAATTAAATTATTTTCATTTATTGTTGTTGGAACTTTATCCATAAAATAAATATAGGTAATTATTTTGTGAACAATTTATTTTTATTTTTACGAGTGAAGAATTTTTTTAAGCTAAATAAAATAGTAAAAAAATTTTTTTAGATTTTCTTAGAATATTTAGTAAATTAAATTTTTTATAAAAATATTTTCTTAAATAAATTTACTTTTTATGTCAGAACTTTTTTATTCTTTGCATATATGTGGCAGTTGAATAACTCAAAAGGTCTACATAAGTATGCAGAATTTATGTATATGTGTGTTTACATTTAAAGTTTCCGCTCTTGAATTTTAAAGTTTTTTACGGTTGATTTAAATATAGGTAGAAGGTTAATGCTTAAAAGGAAGAGCATAAACAACTAAAGAAAGGATAAATTGAGGTAAGAGGAGTGAGTATTTGATAAATATTTATGTAAAAAGTGGAAAAGTGTGTCTGAGTAGGAAAAAAATTAAATTAGAAATTGACAGAAAAGTAGTAAATATTTTTATTTATTTGCCAGCTTCTCTAAACAAATTTCATTAGCTTTCTTTATGTTTATTCGAGAGGAAAAGCGCCGCTTTTAAGAAAAATAAGAGAAGAAAGTTAGCTTTGTTAAAAATTAAATTTCTTTCTCCTTTTCTTCTCTCATATATTTACTAGTTCTTATAAATTATTTAAATGTTATGGCATCTGTATGGGTCTTATCTTCTGTCTAAACAAGCCAACGTTGACTTTTTTGAAATTTGTAGTTTCATTACAATAAAATATTTAAAAATTTTTATTTTTAACATTATTACAAATTACATTGACAATTAACAAACAAAAATATTTAGGGGCACAATAGCAACAACAATAATTATCACATCATTTAGAATATATTTATCATCTCCTATCCTATCTTCCTTCCTCTTTCTGCCTTCTTTTGTTTATGGCTTTTTCGACGATGGGCCAGCACAGTACGCAGACACATTGCAGATACTTCCAATCAAGAGAAAGCTTTAAAAAAGAAAAGAAAATTATTTTTTCCTTAAAAATATCTAAAAAACTTACGTTCCCAACACCGTTCCAAACCCAACAAATCCAGAGATGGCATAGTGCTTAGTTTGGAACTCGCATTCATCGGCAGAGACAAGTTGAAGAAGAATGGCAATAGTGACCACAACCATTAGGGACACAAACTTTCCTTGCACCATTGTAGCAGTTTCCCTTTTGTTGTTGTCGTCGTTGAGCAAATAGATGAATAATACAGAACGATATATTTTTGGGGATTTAGATTAATTAGATATGCTTTTATAGTTTTTCGAAGTTTGATTTTTTCACATCAAAAAAATCTCAATTCTTTAAAACCGTGCAACTCAAATTAAAAATAAAATTAATTAGTTTTGAGCACCGGGTAGCTCAATAACCTAGTAGCTCAACAATGTTCAGCATTGACTGGACAAGCTATGACAAAACTTGTTCGATCATGGTGATTCTGTTTCATTCAACTTATATTAAAATTATTTTTTATTCTACATTTAGGTTTTCAATAAAAATAAAATTTATTTATTTGATTTTTTTAAATATTCACCATCAGTTTTTAATAAAAATTCATTTTTTTAATGAAAAATTTATCTAAAAGTTTTTAAAATAAATAAAATAAAATCATTTTATCATCAAATAAATAATTCTTAATTTAAAAATCAGAATATTTATTGTCAAATAAAATCAGAATTTTTAAAATTAAATTTAGAAAATCGGAATTATTTTTAAATTTCAGAAAATAAACTTTAAATGACAAATTACAAAATTATTCTATTTTTGATATTTAATTTAATATTAATTATTAAAATAAATGGAATTGAGGAAAAAGAAAATTCTCTTAAAAATTTAGACGGAAAATATTTCTATTATGAAGTAAATTTAAATTAATTTTTAAAATTATTATTTTAGACTGATATACCATATAAACGATCTAAACGATCACAGAAAGTATACAAAAAAGCTGAAAGAGAGTATCGTATTAGAGGTATTAATAATTTTTAAATAAAATTTTTTTTAATTATTTAACAAAAATAATTTTAAAGATATGAGCAGTTCACAATGGCAACAACGGCAACGAGGCAAAAAAGTACCTAAAACTGTTTGGGATCCATAAAACAATTAATTAATAATTAAAAAATAATTATTTAAATTTATTCAAAAATATATGTAAATAAATTTATTTGGAATATTTTTGGGTAATTACTTATTTAAAAAATTAAAAAATAAATAGATTTAAATTTATTTGAGTTTAAAATCTAAAATTAAATCTTATTACGAAATTTACGAAAAATTGTTTGTTAAAATAAGATTCATTCAAAATTAGAAAACTTTCCGACTATTTTTTTTCTTTTTCTTTAAATTCCTTTAAAATTTCTTTGAATTATCTTTGGAGAATTTGGAGAAACTCCAAAAATTCTACTTGATACATATGTACACATATTAATACACAAATTTTGTTCTTATTTTCTGTCTAATAAGAAGATAGGAAACTCAATTTTATTTATTAAAATTCCTTTTTTTAACCCAAAAAATTTTTGATATTTTTAATTTTTATTTTATTGCTTTTTCACTTTTATTTGATATATTTTTTTAATTTATGCGAGCGATGGAATGAAATTAATTCAAATAAAAAAATAAATTTTAAAAAGCATCCAAATCATTTTTTAAAAATTATTTAAAATGGAATTTATTTATTTTAAAATATTTTTAACAAAAATAATATTTTTTGTTTTAATTAACTTAACATTAGAACAAAAAGAAATTAATAATATATCGACACCGGTAATTAAAAATTAATTTTGATTTCTAATTAATTTTTAATTTTTAATTAATTTTTAAATTTAAGTCCCCACCACCATTTAACACATTAAATTCATTACAATTAATATCAAAAAATCTTTCCCAATGCCATATTTTGTTAGAAAAAATTCCCGAGGAATTAAAAGAATATAATAAACAATTGGAATATGCATTGAAATTGGCAAATAATATTTCGAGTGAAGTTGGGGAAGTTTTGCTGATAAATGAAGAAAAAGAACTTCCTGGTCAATTACAAGACCACCATCGGGAATGGACAATAAATGGGGATATTGTATGAGTTTTTGAGTTTTTTGAGGACAATATTTAATTTTTAATAAAAGGAAATTGAAAATGAACCAGAAATTCTGAAAGGCAATAATGACGGCATAAAAATCTTAAAAAATAATTTTTTTGAATTAAACAAAACAGAATTGTTAACTCTGGAAAATATTGATAAATATTTGGAAAGACAGCTTAGACAAGCAAAAAATAAGTATATAAAAATATTTGAAATAAATAACTAAATATTTTTTTATTCTAAAAAAGACATTGTCTTCTATCATTAGTCAATAAATTAGCCAAAATACAAAAATCAACAGTTAATTTTCGAATTGAAGCTACAGGATTAAATAAAGTTTTTTTAATTTAAATATTTTTTAAAAAATTTAAAAGGAAATAAAAGAATTATTAAATAATTCTTCTACAAATTATTTAGAATTAGCCAAAGCAGAAATTAAATTAACTAATTCTGATAATAAAGATGTTAGTTCTAGTATGAATATTTATGGAATAATTACTGGGGGAGACAAACAAAAGATTTTTTATGGAATTTCTGCTGTAAGTTAATGAATTATTTAAATGGGTTTTTGAAAGAAAATAAAAAATTCTTAATGTTTTTACCCCTACAAAACTTATTTGAATTAAAATTTGGATTTGAAAAATTAATTAAAGTTTTGTTAAACAACCCTAGTTTAACTAAAAAATTTAATTATCAAAAAATAAATAAAATAAAGATATTATTTTATAGACAAATTTTCAAAATCGTGCAAAATCTAATAATCCTCCAACAAGTGGATATAATGTAAATAATTAATGAATAGATTTTTTAATTTTCTATTTTTATTTATAGCTGTTCTCGGGCATTTTAAACTTTTTTAGTGATATTGGATAATTAATAAATGAATTTTATGAAAAGAATCATATAAAGATTTTATTATGTTTTTGTTTAATTTTAATGTTAAATAAATTAAATATTTTATTCAATAAAATTATTTAATTTTATTATCTTTGTTATTTTTTATTGGGTTGAATGTATTTATATTGACGATATTTTAATTTTTATCCAAGAAAATTTAAAAAAATCTATCACGACATTTAAATACAAAAATAATAAATTTTTCACTTAAAAAGTGTCTTCTAAATAAGTATTATAAAATATTAATTTGTAATTTGTAAATTAATTTTTAATTAAAATTGTTCAAATATAATCTTCACTGTAATATTATTTTATTAAACATTACAAAATTAAGAAATCTTAAAATAACCGTCCAAAATAAATTTTTATTTAAATATTCCCATACTTGTTTTTATCTATTTTGATCACAAAATAAATAAATAATATTTCCATATTAAATTTATGCGAGAAAGGAAGAATTCTTAAATTTAAAAAGAAATAAAATTCTGTTCAATTTCAAATCATTTTTATTTTATTTTAAACAAATAATTTAAAAAATATTTAATCCTCTCCAAACATTTCCTTCCAAAATGTATTTTAAAATAATTCTTTTTATTGGAATTTATATTATAAATCAAGTAAAAATAACAGAAAATGCCCCTTTAAATGAAGAAAGCAGCACTTTAGAATATTTTTATAATAAAAATTTGGAATATTTAGAAATGGAGGCGAATGCAGAGTTTTTAAAGTCAACAACTTTACCTTCTTTGGATGAGGTAGTTGATAATAGGGAATATATTAAATTTAATTTAAAAAATTGCCAAATAATTGTTTCCAGGCAAAATTTAAGAAACGTTCAAAACGGATGCTCGCACCTACGGTTGCTTTACCACCCCCGTATGTTCTCTCATTTAACTTTAATCATTTTTTATCATTAAGAAGTGAGAAAAGCTCAGAAAATGGAAATGGGTTTTTATTTTTTAATTTAAAGATTGTGGCGATTAAATTTTAAGTTCTTATTGAGGGATATTAAAAAATCATAATTTAAAAAATTCAAAACTTTTAGTCGCCATTTTGTAAATATTTTAGTATCTTATTTTAAAACCTTAGATGTGTATTTTGTGGCAATCAACAAAATTTGTGAACTTGATGAATATAATAGATTTTTGTGATAAATATTACATAATCAAATTTTTATACTTTATTAAAAATTTTAAAGTTAAGATATGTAACTAGTGAATAATATGAAATAAATCAGGGGGATATTGCTTCCGAGTCCACCTAGTTCCATATTGTTGACTTTTTTTCGTTTCAGTTTCTGGCTCTCTCTTCCGCCAGAATCTATGAATTACGTATTTATTCACACACCCTTAATTAATCACTCTCCCTTAATTATTTACTTTAATTATTCTAGCTAGTTTTTTCTTAACTGTTAAGGATTATGATAAAGTTCATGTCCAAATAATGTACATCCTTAAGAATCAAATAGAAGACAATGAAATTCGAACAAATAAGAGAAACTTCAACCTTAAATGCTTTTTTAGTTTGAGCTCCTAAAATTCATTAACGCCAAATAATCTGCGCCGAATCGTCAAATTCAATTCCCCTTATAAAACCTATACCTTTTGGATTCAAATTTTTAGCTAAAACTTGAATCCAAAAGGTTTAGGTTTTGTAGTGGAGACAGTAGAAGACAAATCGGCGCAGAATATTTGGCGTCAGTATTTTCATTCCTATAAATTTTTTTATTGGCTAGTTTATCAATTTATTAAAATTCCCTGTATCGTTAACTTCCGCATGATACAAGATTTGTTAATAAAGTTAGTCAAATTTAAAAGTTTTGGAGGAAGAAATAACTGGCGGCGCCAAGTTGTTAGCGCCAAATTGTCTATTTAATCCAAAAGGTTTAGGCTTCAAAAGGTTTAGGCTTTATATGAACTTTTCGGCGCTGCTAAGTTGGCGGCGCCTGTATTTTTGTTTTATAAACTTTAACGCGCGTTACGGTTCGTGGGCATTATTTGGATTTTATTTTTATTATAAAATGGGATGAACAACGGATAACTTGATTGCTCATATTTTTTTTTAATTTTGGATTTTTCCGATTCTCTAATTTATTTGAAAGGCAAAAAAAGTATTACAAATTTTTGGACTTTCATTTAATTTTTGCTTTTTTTTTATTTTAGAATTTAAAAATGGAACAGCCTTCTAAAAATACTAAAAACACTTCAAGTGAAAGTATTAATTCGCAGAAAAAAGCTCGTCAATTTGACTTTGATTTGCTTTTTGCTCAAACAATTGAATCAAAACAAACAGAACAAGAATCTGCTGATTTTAGTCGAATTTCATTGCAGGGAAGTGTTGATGATATAACAAAAATTGAAAGAAATGTTGAACGAAATAAACAGGTAAATTAAAAAAAGATTTAACAAAAATTAATTTTTTCCTACTTTTACTAGTTTAGTAATTTAATAAAAGAATTTGTCTAAATTTTCTTTCGCCGTAATTTATTAAACAAAACTTTTAATTCAAAAAATTAGGAAGATGATTTTGTTGGTCCACCTATTCCAGAAAATTTAAAGAATTCAAGGCAATATCAAGAGGATGAGGAAGTAGTTGGACCTCCGCTCCCTTCCGATTTTGTATTGGACAAAAATGTTTTAATTGAAAATGCAGACGATGCTGGATTTGACGAGGATGAGGTTTAAATAAATTTAAATAATTTTATTTTCTTGTTTAATTTAGATAAATGTGTCAAGTGTCATTCCCGCTTCTTACGAAGTTTCAGTCAAAACTGACACGACAAAAGCAATAACGGCCTTAGCATTTGATCTCCAGGGGGCTAAATTTGCAATTGGTACTTATTCTTATTCTGTTAGTATTTATGAATTTCAACGAATGGATAGTTCTATGAGTTCTTTCAGACAAATTTATCCTTGTGAAAGGTTTTTTCTTTAAAATTATTTTTTTTAAATTTTTTCTTCTCGGAAAAATTGGGGTATTTTTTATTTTTTTCAGCTCAACCCCCCCCCCCCTCCAAAATTAATTTCTTTTTCTATTTAAAAACTTTAGTCATGTAATCAACGATTTGGCATTCAGTAACAATGCTGAAAATTTATTAGTTGGAAGTAGCAGTCCAATACTCAGATTGCTTGACAGACAAGGCTCTCAATGGGCAGAGACTGTCAGAGGTTTTATTTTTTTAATTTAAAAAATATTTTTTTGTTTAATTTTAAGGAGATCAATATTTGGTAGATCCAGCAAATACAAAAGGACACACTGCAGCAATTAATTCTGTTTGTTGGCATCCTTTGAGTAAAAATGAATTTTTGACTTGTGCCGATGATGGGTTTGTTTTTTATTTTAAATATTCTTTAAATTATTTTTATTTAAAAAGTAAAAAATGATTTTTAAGTGTCATTGACTTGCATTTTTTTATTAATTTGGAGGGAACATTCTCACAAACCGCATACTTTATTTTAAAATAATTCAGATAGTTTTTTTAATAATTTTATTATAATTGTCTTAACCGTCCAAAATTATTTAAAAAAATGTTTCAGGTTGTGATGAAAATAAATTTAAAAAATTTTTTTTTTAATTTCTACACTTAAATTTCTTCTCTTTTTATTTTTTAGAACTTTACGTATTTGGGATATTAATGATTACAAAGATGTAACAAAATGTATAAATACTCAACGTAAATTAATCAAAACAAAAAATTCAACGGGTAAACGGGCATTGGCTACTACTTGTTGTTATTCTAGAGATGGGAAATTAATTGCTGCAGGGTGTGATGATGGGTCTATTCAAATTTGGAAAAATGGAAAACTTTTTGTAAAAAATTTTTTTTTAATTATTTTTATTGAAACCTGACGGGTTTTAATTTATATTTTGTTATTTTTAAGGAGTTATTTTAAAAAATTATTTTTAATATTAATTCAAATAATTCTTCTTTTTAGGTAAATACAACATATTTATGTAGAACTGCCCATACTGGTTTAATAACTCGATTACAATTTTCACCTGATAATGAAAGAATTATTTCTCGTTCAAGTAAAAAATATTTTTATTTTCTTAAATTTATTTATTTTTCAGTGGATGATTCGTTAAAATTATGGTCCTTAAAAGACTTCAAAAAACCTATAAAATCAGCAACAAATTTAAAAACAATATTTCCCCAAACAGATTGTGGTTATAGTCCTCATGCAGAATTTATATTTACAGCAACAAATGACAAAACTAGAGAAGGAGGGGAAAATGGTTCTTTATTGTTTTTTGATTCTGAAACACTTGAATTACTTTATAAAATTGAATATGAAAATCAGGTTTATTTTTAAAAGAATTCTGACATTGAGTTTGTTTTTATGTTTATAGTTGTAGGAGATGAGAATTTTATAAGAATGGAAGCTCATCCCCTAGAATTTCAGGTTTGCCCAGAAATTCTAGGCGATAAAGGGGATTTTTAGGATTTACAAGACTTTGATGTTTACAGCACTAAAGCCTCGTCATATGATCATAAATCGATTTCCCCACACTTTCTTTGGTCTTTTGAGTTTTTTAAATTAATTTTAAGGGTTGTATCCGAGCATTATGGCATCCAAAAATTAACCAAATATTTGTTGGATTAAGTGATGGAACTTGTAAAATTTATTACGATCCTTCAATTAGTGTTCGTGGTGCAATTCAATGTGTTGGTAGACCAATTAAACGTTCAAGAGAAAAAGAAGTTGTTAAAGAAGAATTAATATTATCACGTTAGTTTAAACAAAATTTTTGAAAAATAAATTTGTTTTTAGCATTAACTCTTGAAATGTTTCAACCTCGTGGTGAAGATGGCGAAGAACGTGAAGTAACTGAATGGAGATTAAGAAAATATTTAAGAATGCAAAGTAAACAGAAAAGGCCCCAATTTAGACAACCTGCCGCTATGCCTATGTCTGGTCCAAGTAAATTTTTATTTTTTTAAAAGAATATTGGAATTTTTTTAATTTCTTTTTTAATTGAATTTTAATTAAGAGGAAATAATCTTTTAATAATTAAAAAAATTTTTGAGAAACTTGCTAATTTTTTTTGAAATTAAATAAAAATTTTCTTTTATTTTCTAGGCACCGGTGGTCGAATACGTCCACAGGGTGGAACGTTGCATGGCTTTATAGCTAAAGAAATGGGATTAGTTAGAAATAAAGAATTTATTGATGATGAAGATATTCGTTCAGCAATTCTTCGGCATGCTGAAGAGGTGAAAAAAATATTAAATTTAATTAATTTTAAAAATTATTTAGGCAGAGAAAGATCCTCAATTTATTACAAAAGCCTATACTTTAACACAACCAAATCCTGTATTTCAAGAATCGACAGAAGAGGAAAAGGGAGAAGGGGAAGAAGATGAGCCTGTTTATAAAGTACCCAGATTGGGGTAAAAAAAGGGGGAACATTTGGGGATTTCTTTTTGGAGTTTTCTACAAATTATTAAATAAAATTTATTTTAAATTTATTTGCAAATTTAATTATAAGGTTGGAAATAGAATTTTTTAGCAGGTGTTTAATTATATACATTTATTCCAATAAAAATCTATTTTTATTGGCAACTTTCAAAATTAAAAGAAAAAACGTTAGAAACGAGTGAAACACTTCAAAATAAATTATTAAACAATATTTTTAATTTAAGATGAGACATGTAGAAGACTTAGAATATGTAGTTTTTAATTCCTCGATATTTAAAATTTATACGTGAAAGAAAATTTTAAAAAATTTCTTTAATCATTTTAATTATAAAAAGAAAATAAAAAAATTAAAAAAATATTATAAATTACCTACATACATATGTAGTATTTATTTTCTTAAAATTTTATATTTAATTTTTCTAGTAAAAATTTTTTTCCCTTTCAACCTCATTTATTTTCCCATTCTTTAAAATTACTACACTCTCTATGAATTGCCAATAAATTAGCTATTTGTTAAATTATTAAAAAATTATTTTTTAAGTACAAAATACTTGCTTTAGTTTTTTTAATTTTATTTTGTTATAAAAATTTATTAAATTATTTATTTTTATAAAAGGTATTAGAATTTTATTTGAATTTTAACCCTCATAAAAACAATTTTTAAATTTTTGTATTACGTTTAGGGATATAATTTTCAGACCTTAAATAAAAAATAAAATAATTTTTTAAAATTATTTCGTCACTCGATATAACACCAAATAACATCCATCCCTAAATTACTATGCCCAATTTCTTTATTTTTTATCCCCTTTTTTAATACACATTTTTGAACGGAAATAATTTTAAGGATTTAAACATTTGAATATTTATTATAATTAAACAATGAATAAATAAATAAAATAATTTTCATTTCCCCTCGTTCATTTACGCAAACGTCTGTACATTTTTTAAATAATTTTTTTAAATTAAATCCCAATTGTATATTCTCTTTTTATTTTCTATTAATTGTTGTTTATTAATAATTATTTACCTAATATATTTAACTGGAACTCAATTAGAAAATAATTTTTTTTATTTTATTAATTCAAATTTAAAAATTTGGATAAGTAAACAAAGTACTTTTTTTGAAAATCTCTAAGAATTTTTTGATCATATTTAATCAAATCTTTTTAGATAATCAAAACTTCTTTTTATTTTTTATTTATTTTATAACACTTTCATTTAATTTAAATTGTCGTTTGGTTTTACACGGTTATAGAGCTCTCCCTTTATCTATTACAACACTCTCTTAATCCCCATTTCCTCTTAACAATAAATCCGGAAATATTTTCCCTTTTCCCCTCTTTTTTAATTTTTTTTTAATTTACCTAAACAATTTAATATTTTTATCTTACTTTTTTTACTCATTATTTTTGTCCATATTTTTTGTTTTACCTTCATTTATATTCCCTCGAGGATTTAAATGTCCAAATATAAAAATAATAATATTCATAACTTGGAAAGTTATTGAAGAACTTTTTTTTTCAAAAAATATTTTTTGGGAATATACTATATTAAATAAAAATAATTTTTTAATTTTACTTGAACATTTCAAGCATTTATTTAATATCCCCCCAAAACTTTAATTATTTTTAAAAATTAATTTTAAAAAGTATATTTTTAGTTCAAATTTTAAATGATTAATTTACCAATTTTTCAATTCCCTCCTTTCTTTTCCACTTTATTTTTCCAATTATTTTTTAATTATTTCTCCTTTTCTTCTTCCAAACAATTAAAAATCAAAAATTTAAAATTTCCAACAATTTTATTATTTTTAATTTTAAATTTTTCTTTTTATTGTTATGCTGATGATTTAACTAGTAACAATACTTTAACAAACCAAACAGTAAGTGAAAAAATATTCTTGAAAAAAAATATTTAATTTTTTAACCAAAAAGGATGCCGGTAATGGGACAACAATACCTAGCATTCAAACAACAACAATTAATTGGTTTGTTTAAAATAAATTGGGGGGAGGGGTTTTGGTAAAAATTGTGGCTTGAGAAACACGCCAAAAAACCTAGAGACCAGAAACGAAAAGTACCTTTTTCCTCTAACACATTCTGCTCCGTTATTGAAGGATTGACAATAAAATTACCCACTTTGGATGAAACATCATTAATTTAATAAAAAATTTTTTTAAAAAGGTGGGGCTCAATGGCAGTAACACAACCAGATTCGTATATAGCCGATGATTCTACAGTAATAAATACAACAACAGATAGCAGTGGATTGGTAAAGAATTATGTTTAAAATTTGAAAAAAAATATTTTTTTTATCAGAATGGGTCAGCAAGTCAAGATTCTTCTTCTTCTTCCAATACTTCTTCTACAGATACTTCAACTAACTCAAATTCAACAACAAAAAATAAAGCAATCTCCTCTAAATACCAAAAATATATTTTAGTAAATTTAATTAGTATTTTATTTTTTGGAATATTTTTATGTTAAATTGAGATGAAATACAGACATGTGATTAAATATATTTGTATTTAGATAAAAACTTTGATAAAAAAATTATTTTTTTACTTTTAATACAAAAATAAAAATAATATAAAGAAAAATAAAGAGGATTGTGGCTTCAACAAACTAATTAAGAAGGATGTTAGCTAGTAGAAGGAAAGAGGGGGAGGGGGTTTTATGAGGAAATTCTTCAAATACGAAAAGTTAAGGAAGGAAAACCTATTTATTATAGATAGACATTGGAAATTTTATTTGACAAAATAATGAGGATATTAAGCATTTATTATACTATGTACTAAATTAATTAAACAATTTTTAAATTTTAATTTCAATGTTCAGTAACCAAAATACGAACAGAAGGAAAAGGCCTAGGCAATGGTGGAGTTATCTTTAAATTGACATTTTTTTTAATTAAAAAAAACAATTTACCGGTTCTTGTGTTGGAAGTAATTTTGCAAAAATTGGAAAGAAACGTTGTGCTGTATAACGTATTGGAGCAATAAGGATTAATGAAAGTATTGGATGTAAGAGTGAAATAAATAAGGGTAATGTTGTAAAGGGGAATTCGACGGCTAATTGGGTACACTAAAAATTAATTTATTTTTTAAAATTATTCAGAATTTTGTAAAAATAAGTGATATTTTTATCCTTTCTTTTATGTTACCCCTTAATAATCTAGTTGATACTGTCCCAAAAAAACTGTGGGGGATATACATATGTCAGTAAAATAATCTTATGGATTAAAAGCTGGTTTTAATTCCAACTAATTCTGGTATATCCATTGGTATATTTATATTTTAACAAAAACTCCTCCAAATTTTTTTATCAAAAAAATTAATTTACTTTATTGCAAGGACTTGTCAAAACATATTGTTGAAATAAAGCAATTCCAGTTAATAAAGCTACTAACGACCACAAAATTGCCTCTATTAAAAATAAATCTCTACAAGAAAAAACCAAAAAATCAAAAATTGAAGAGTGTCGATAACTGACAGACTTTTTAGAAATTAAATAAATATAAAGCTTTATTTTTTAAAGAAAACCTTTTTATTATTTTTAATTGTCTTGAGAGGAATAAAATACCAAACTAAAGATTGTAATAATTGAGATATTAAAATTAATGAAAGCAATCCAAAAGCCAATCCTTTTTGGCGAATAGCCAAAGTAATTGAACACTTAAAGGGATGAAAGATTTTTTTAAGTTAGAAAAAAATAAATTTAGAAATTAATTAAAGGGAAGGGGATTTCTTTTCACAAAAAATGTTACATTAAATTAATAAAATTTCAAAATAATACTTTAATAGCTAATAAATTTTTATTAAAATTTTTTAATACTAGATAATTTGTAGAAGACAAAAATTAAAAATAAAAAAATTCGGAATAAATACAACAATAAAGAAAAGTCGACTTTCGTTATAATGCCATTCGAAGGGATTGAGACTGTAATTTTTGTGGTTTTAAACAGATGTCTCGTTCTCTGTTAAACCGAAAAGATATGTAAATCCAAATAATTTTTCTAACTCAGATTTTATATTCCTTTTTTTCTACCTACATTAGCCATTCTTTTTCGTTTTAAAGAAATTTCATCCCATCTATCAAAAGAAGTAAAAAACAAAGTAATTCCACAACAAAAAACAATTAAAATAATTTGTTTTGTTGAACATAGCCAATAAGGAAAAGGAAAATATTTTTGTTGTTTTTTAACTATTTTCCATTTTTTAAATTCTGTTTCGGAAATATTTGAATGACGAAAATCCTCTACTATATTATTATTGTTGTTATTTTGAATTATTAGTTTTTTGACTCTTGAAAAGATTTTAATTAAATTTTTTATTTATTTAGATATTTGGGGAAATCTTTCCTCTAAAGTTTCAATAACTAAAAAATTTTAGCATGTAGATAATTTATACCCCTATAACTTTTCGAAATGTGGGTAAGGGCCAAGAAAGCAAAAAACTGGCAATAGGTTATCGACCCTGCTCTACACGATGGTGCAAAAAAAATAGAAATTATTCACATACAGTTTGGGTGTTCCCTTGTTATATTTAATTTTCTTTAATATTGCCAAAGGAGCGGAACAATCAGAATTATCGAAAATCCTAATTTTGATGCACCTCTAAATAATCCTGAGAATTCCCTTATATCTCTTGTAACTTTTCCCGTAATTTATATTTTTCTTTAACAAAATTAAACAAAAAACCTTCTAGATTGTCTACTACTATTTTGTATAATAATTTTTCTTTGATTATTAAAATTTATAATTTTATCTTCTTTTTTATTTTTTCTAAACCATCTTTTAAAAGCCATTTGTAAAGCAAAAATTAAAGGTAAAATCATTGAATAAATATAAATAAAAACTAAAGGAAATTCTTGTAATTTACAAGTTGAAGAAGTAAATGTTGGAATACAATGACCTTTTGGATTGACAAAAGAAAAGTATAACCAAAAACATTTTTTAGTTAATAAAATAGAAGCTAAGAGAGCATAATTGAGGGAAATTGATGACTAGAAAATTAAAAAAAAATTTTTTTTTGAAAAAAATTTTACTAAAAATCGTCTTGTTCGGAAAGGTATAGGCCTCGAATTAAGTGAAGATGGAATTAATAATGAATTTAAAATAATTGCTAAAATTGCTAAAACAATATCCAAAACTGTCACAAACCTTTTAAAAAAATATTTTTAACAAAAGAAAATTCTCTAACCAAATAGAAATTTGTAAAAATTTTAAAGAACAATGACTACCATTAAAATCATTTTGTTTAGTTAAGTGGTCATTAAATAAAAATAAATTATTCGGATTTTCTTTATCAAAATTATTTAAAATAAATTGTTCTTCCATTAATTTTTTGTCTAATAAAAAATTATAAAATTATTTTTCAATTATTAAATTTATTTTTTAGTTTTTGGTAAAAGTTCGAATACGAGAGAAAATTTTTTTTAAAATAATAAAGGATAAAATATGTAGGGAATTTTTTTTCGTTAAAAAGACACTAACTTCTCAACAAAAAAGTCAATATAAATAAAGTTTTAGAATTTTGTTTAGATTAAAAGCTTCTAAATAAAAATATTTTTCTAAAAAAGTCTTCTTTCCTCACGCAAATTAGAAAAGCATAGAAAGTTAAAAGCAAAGGGCTTAGAAGAAAAAAGATTTTTTGATGATGTAAAAATAAATCCCTATTTAGAGAAAAGTAAAATATCTCTTGAATATTTAAAAAATTAATATAAAAGTAAAACTAAAAAAAATCGGGAGTAAAAATAAAAAAGATTGTCTAAACCAGGGCCTAACAAAGGAGAGTACCTCAGGTGTCGGCGGGACTTCGGGATGAAATTTGGTAGATAGATAGATCATACCCTTCTATAGTCATACCCAGCTTAGTTTCCGCTAAATGGTACCGTGGGCCAAGTTATAAGCCCCCAAATTTTAGGATCTCCCCATATAAACACTTTCTATTCCTTTATAAATGTATTAGTCGGTGGTTCAGTGGTAACGTTCTCGCATTGAATTTTTTCGCCCAGGTTCGAATCCTGATTGGTAAAATTAATTTGTTTTAACATAATTTTCGCTTCTTTTTTGAAAATTTATTTTTAAAATTTTTAAAAAATTTTCTAAATTTTTTTGCAACTTTTTTAAATTTTTTTAAAATATTTATTCCTTGCCTTTTAAAGCCCTCGACTTATTCATTTCTTGTGGTCCTTCAAAATGTGTTTTCAAAAAATTTTAAAAAAGTTTCAAAAAAATTTAGAAAATTTTTTAAAAATTTTAAAATCAAAATTTTCAAAAGAGAAGCGAAAATTATGATAAAAAAATTAATTTCTCCAATAAGGATTCGAACCTGGGGAAAAAATTAAATTCAAGAACGCTACCACTGCACCACTGATGAACACAATAGTAAATAAAAAGAAAATGTTTATATGTAGAAAAGAAAACAGTGGTGGATCCTAAAATTTTGGGGCCTTATAACTCGGCCCACGGTACCATTTAGCGGAAATGATGAAAATTTCGCAACTAAAGTAGGGTATGATCTATCTATTTACCAAATTTCATCCCGAAGTCCCGCCGACACCTCAGGCACTCTCCTTTGTAAGTACACTTTACCGGGGGATTTTAGATTTGAACAATTTATATGTCAATCAAAAGAGCTCGTTTTGGAAAAAAATTTTTTTTATTTTCAGAACAAATATAAAAATGTAATAAATTATTTTCCTAATTTACAGTCAAACAAAAAATATTTAACAACTTTTGTCTATCAAAATTTAAGAAATTTAAATTTTTTCACATTTTCTTTAAATGCTTCCTCTTCTTGGGTAAGCATTTTATCCCATTCCTCCAAAATTGAATTTTGATTGTTGAAATCGCACGTCTAAAATTTACAATTGTATAAAATTAATAAAAGAATTAATTAAACACCTGTCTAATCTTATCCGGCACAGGCCAAAGTATAGTCGGCTGAGGTTCTGAAGGTCTATATTTCTGCCAAAATTGGACAACACGAACACGAAGCTAAAATTTTTTTAGGAATTTGGACCTAAAATTCTAAAATAAAAATAAACTTACACTTTCAATTTTGAATTCAATATTTTCTTTTGACTTTAAATAAGTAGCCATTGAAGTAGGATTTGCATTTGAAGGCAACAATAAACGATTATATTCAGTCATTAAAGTCTCTGATTCTTTCAATAAATTTTGCAATTCTTGTTGCTCGTTGTTTTTTTCAGCACAAATTGAACAAATATATGGCTCGTTTGTAAGTAATTTTTTCTTCTAAAATTTAAGATTTTTTTTAAAAAATTTTTCCAATTTTTTTACCTCCAAGGCATTAAGTCGTCGAATTTCTTCATTCATCCTGCCCAAAGTATTATTATTATTTATTGCTAAGGATGTAGAAGTCAACGGAGTTCTAATATTTTCTTCCATAACACTTAGATTTTGGTCATCCGTAATCACGATTTTTTGTTGTTGTTTTGGAGTCGAGGTAGTTTGTTGCTGATTCTTTAAATTCTAAAAAAAAGTAAATTTTATTAAAAATTTGTTAAAAAAATTTTTTAATATTTTATTTCTTAATATATTGTCAGAAATTTAATTCTTTACAGAAAAACAGAATCCTTCCCTTAAAATAAAAACTGTCTCGACAATTTTTATCAAATTATTTTTACATTAAAAGAGATCACCGCAAAAAGGGCCTTTTTTGAAAATTCTCTTGTCATTTCATGAGCTTTTTCACGTTCCGCTCGTGTATCAGCCAGTTCAGATTGAAGTTGAGTCAATTTAAGTTCATAATCACTAAAAATATATTTGAAAATATTTTTAAAATAATTATTTTTAAACCTTTTCTTTTGCTCCAAATCATTACTTAATTGTTCACATTTTGTTTTAAGTTGTTGAATTTCAGCCTTTAAAGCAGTTCCGGCCTCATTTTCTGAAAGTTTCTTTTCTGCCATATCAAGACGAATTTTAATCATGCTGGCCGATTCTTCTCTACTTTTAAGTGCAGATTGTAATTTTAAAAGTTCATCATCTTTCTTTGAAAGCTTAAAGAAATAAAATTAACGGAAAATTTAAACATCCCAAAATTTAAATAAAATTAAATTCGGATTAAAGAAGGGTAGACAAGTGACAGTCAATAGTCTGATAAAGAATTCTTTATTGACTTTGCCCAACAAAAAATCATTTCTCTCAATTTTCCCATAAAGATAAATAAAAATTCTTTACAAACCTGCCATCTTAAACTATCAGCCTCAACAATATCCTTTTTACGCAACTGAGCACGATTAACAAGTGGAGGAAAAACATCATTATTCAAAAATTGATTAGAATTTTCATTTGGACAAATTTCCATTGAAGAATTCTCTAATGATTCACCAAGGCCTTGTAAAACTGCTTTGACAGATTCCAATAATTCACTAAATTTTAGATTTTTAAAAAATAAAAAAAATATTTTTTTACAAAATTTGTGCACAAGCTCTTTTTTGTCCATCAATTTGCCCAACAAATTTTTCAACAGAAGAAAATACAAAATCAAGCATTTGTTGAGACGGTAATGCTTCAGTGTCTACAGTTCCCAATTCAGATGTTGCCATTGAGCAAATTTGATTTATAATACAACCACACTTTTCGAGAGTAGCAACAGCCATACAAATTTGATCATTCAACTTAAATTGAAGAAATGAGAATTCAAATGGAGGAAGGATTAAATTATATTTAAGACGAAAAACAAAAGACTTTAAGTAATCCTAGAATTATAAATAAACAACCTCATTAGGCAATAAGAGCTCATTTTCTTTCGGAATTCTATTCATTGCCCTCATTGTCATTTTGTCACAATCTTCCAATAATTGGTTAACTTGATCAACAAAAGAAATAAATTCAACATTGTCAGTCCCTCCATTTCCATTATTGTTAATGGAACTTTTGGTCATTAAAGAGGAAGAAGTCAATGAAGTTGGCGATGATTGAGAGTCGGAAGTAGTAGATGAATCCTTTAAATGTGAAAATTTTGTAATAAATTTAAAAGTTTAAAGGAACCGAAAAGAAATATTGAAGACGCTGTCCATTAAATCTAATCCAAATCAAAGCTTTCTTGATTTGAGCAAGAGTGTGTTGCAAGTCTTGTTTGGCACTAAATGGTTCTGTGCTTAGATTGGCAGAAAAAATTCGCTAAAATTTTTAAAATTAATCTTAAATAAAATATGGCAAAAAAAACCTCAAAATATTTAACCATTTGTTCAAGCACTTCAATTGAAGTATTTTCATCAAATTTATTTTGTTTTAATAATTTGAAGTAATCCTCCAATTTTTGTTCTCTTTGGCAAATTTCTGTTTGTTGTACAGCAAGACGGGAAAGAGGATCAGAAAGACGATCATTAAATGAACAATGTTTGAAAACACTAAAAAGTTTAAAAAATATTTGAAAAGAATTAAGATTTTTAAATCACTCCTTAATTTAAGAAATTCATGGGATTATTGGGGTGCAACAATTAATATACTAATTATCAAAAAATGATTCGATCAATCACATGCACTATATTTTCGGGTTAAAAAATGTTAGATAATTAAAATTTTGAAAAATCAGAATGTTAACCATCCATTTAAATAAAATAAAAGCTTACGCAACAAATTTTTGTAAAACAGTATTCAACTTTTGTAATTGATAACCAAAATGCCGAACATGTGCCCATTGTTCCCCTTTATGTGAAATTGTAACATGTTCACGTTTAAGTCCATCAGGTGGTTGCGGGTATTTTTGAAACAAAAGTTGGGAAAGACAAAGTGCTTTGGAAGAAAGACGAGGTAGAAAAACACAAAGAATTAAACAATCGTTGTCACCTAAAGAAGAAAGTAGTTTTATTAACAAAAAGTTTAAACCTCCAGCCTTCATGAACTTGTCCGGAATAAAACTTCGCAAATAAGAAACGTTTCTTTTTGCCGATTCCAATTCGATAGAATTCAATTGAGCCTCGACCAACTATTTGAAAAATAATACAAATAATAAAAAAATTAAAACAAAACCTCAGAAAAATCCCGTTTAACATTCGCCATTAAAGAAATTTCAGCACCAGCAGCTCTAGCCTTTTCATCATCAAAAGCCCTCATTGTAGACAAATCATCTTCCAAATTTTGAACTTTTTCTTTTAACTCGTTAGTCTTTTGACGAAATTTGTTGATTGCATGTTCATAGTCTATAGCACGATCCTCTGATTCCAACAATTGGCGTTTCAACTGAAATGAAAAAAACTTAAACATTTATAAGTCGAAAACACCAAATAGAAAGGGTTTAGCAAAAGTTTAGCCTTCGGACAGTCGTTAGGTTTTTTCAGAAGTCATACACTGAGCTACCGAACCATCGACTAACGCATTCTCTTTTATTCTTTTAGATCGCTTAACCCTCGCCTAAGCGTTTTAAATGCTCTAGGTAAATCATCCTTACAAAATTTAACCAAAAAATTAAACAAAAACCGTAGCAATTATAAGCATTTGTTCTTCATTTCCTTGAAGTAATTCCTTCTCAGTCTCTTTCTGTGTGTCAATAATTTCATCTTCCATAAGGTGTAATTGCTCCAATTCATTGAAATCAGCTTTTAATTGTCTAAAATTAATTTTAAAAAACATTCTAAATCAATTCTTAACCTATATTGTTCTTCCAAATCAAGATTCTTGCTTGTCAAATCTGCAATAATAGCGTCAGAACTCATTTGAACCTCAATCTAGAAAAGTTGATTATTCAAAAATAAGACAGAAAAACTTACCCGACTCTCCAATTCACTTATTTGAGTATTCATCTTCAAATAATACAAAATTTCCAAAAAATAAAATTAAAACAAAACCGTAGCAATAGTCAAAGCCAACTCCTGGTTTTTAGTTGTCAATTCTTTTTCCGTCTCTTTCTGCATTTCTATTATTTCTTCATCCATTTGATGTAATTGTTCAAGTTCGTGAACATCCAATTTTAATGTTCTGAAGAAAAGAAAGTTTGAAAAAAATAGAAGAAAATAAATACTTGATTTGTTCTTCCAAGTCCACATTTTTATTTGTCAAGTTGTTTATAATAGCTTCAAAGTTAAGCTGTTCAGTCATTTTCAGGTCTATAATTGAAAGATTAACTAATTTTTTTTTATTAAAATGAACAAATTTAAAAATATTGGAATTTATAAGGTTTGGGTATGCTTTTTTAGCAACGCCCTTTTTCCTTTTCAATCATCAAACAACCTTAATATGGACAGAGGTCTTCCTCAAGTTCTTCCCCCCTTTCTTCCTCAAAAGTTCACTCAATCTTCCCTGTAAGAAAAAAAAGGATTGATTGAAAAAAGGAAAAAAATTGATTTTTCTTTCAAATGTCACCAAAATATGTAGAAATTTACATTTGAATCAATATTCTTATTTTACTATAAATGGCACGTCTTAAATGGTAACAAGGCTGCGTCTTATTGTTAAAACTATGGTCGGTATTTTTTTCATACATAGAATCAAAACGATGTAATAATTAAAAAAAGCATACCCAACCTCCAAATATAAAAACATAAACAATTAAAAAAATAAAAATAAAGTCAACCTAACAGAAAATAAAAAAGTAAAAAAATAGGAGTAAAGCCCAAAACGGCGCGCGGCCATAACGGCGCAAATCATAACTTGCATCAAAATTTCCCAATCTTAGCAGATTTAGCATCAAACGATTCCTCTCATCGAGCTAAAGAGATTGGTAACAAAATTGATAAGGGCCAGAAATTTTCTAGCAAGTTATGGCATTGCGCCGTTATGGCCGCGCGCCGTTTTGGGCGTGTTTAGTGAACGACAAATCAACGTTTTCGTTGATTCGCGGCGAATATCAACAATTATTCGCGAACAACTTTTTTTTAAATACATAACGCCAGAACAACGTTAATATCAACGTTTTGCGCCAAACAACTGCGAATCAACGTTTTTGTATCTTTTTTTCTCTGCTCTGCCATTATATTTCTCTTCTTTTTTTCTGTTAATTTTCGGTCGAGTAGTCTCTCCTTTGGAATTTGAAAGAATTTTACGAGTAGGAATTTTTTTATTAAAATTGAAAAAGTATAAAACAACAAAATTTTATTCATCTTTAAATAATGATTGTAATGAAATAACAAAAAAAAAAAAAAAGTTGAGATCTTATTTCGCATTTTTATTAAATAAAAAATTTTGTTAAATAAAAAACTCCCGTCCCTAACCATGAAATAAGTGTGGAAATAGTATGCGGATCAAAACGATTTCGTTTATAATCATATACTAAAGGAGAAAAACGAGAAAATATGCGTTCACAAGAAGTAGAAGAAGAAGAAACTGCTAAAAAAATGCTTAGAAATGGTGAAAGGTGTGTGTTTACAACCTTTTTAATTCATAATTTATTTATTTCGAATATTTTAATTACTTGTAAAGGAGAACATTTACTAGCTAATGTTGTAGATGAAACGACATCAGAAAAGAATATTGTTGCTGCACTAAATTGTTCTGGTTCAACAAATTCCCCCAATTTTAATTTATCGGCAACTTGTTTTGGAAGCATTCTATATAAAAGAATATCACTTTTTCTTTTTTCTTCAACTAATTCTCTAGTTCTTTCTTCAACTTCTTGTTTTAAAGAACTTGCATATTGCTCTAACATTCCAAAAACATAATCCATTAAATTTTGACTCCCGTCCCTAACCATTTGTTTTAACATTGTTCTGACTTGATCTATTCTTGGACGTTCTGTTGGAATTTCACTCCAACAGTCTCGAATCACTCCAACAGTCTCGAATTTTTGAGGAGTTCCTTTTCACGATCAAGCTCAATTCTCTTTTCTTCGAACAGTCTTTTTGATTCTAACATTTGGTGTCACGATTTGGTGTCATTTCTCAACTTTTTTATAATTTTTGGTGTTGTAGTATTTGGTGTTGTAGATTTTGTAGTAATAAGTGAAAATTGACAATGGCTTTTTATAACTTTTTTGATTAAAATTTTATCGTTTTAAAATTTTTTGTTTAAGAAATTTTTTCTTTTGTAAATTTTTAGGCTTTTGTAAATGTTTTGCAAGATATTTTTAAATTTGTACATGAAGAATTTAGGTTCAGGTGAGATTTTTCACTTTTTAAATTTAGTTCGACAAATTGCGAATTTTTACTTTGTTGGACATTTTGAGAGGTTCGCAAAAATACCTCAACACAGGTGGAGAGACTACTCGACCGAAAATTAACAGAAAAAAAGAAGAGAAATATAATGGCAGAGCAGAGAAAAAAAGATACAAAAACGTTGATTCGCAGTTGTTTGGCGCAAAACGTTGATATTAACGTTGTTCTGGCGTTATGTATTTAAAAAAAAGTTGTTCGCGAATAATTGTTGATATTATTAAATCAACTTTTTTTTCTTAAGAAAACGTTGATATGTCGGCTCCCATACAAAATCTCTATTCCTTAAAATCGCTATTCCTTAAAATCTCTACTAGGGTAAAAATGCTTAAAATCTCTATTCCTTAAAATAACTATTCCTTAAAATCTCTACTGGGGTAAAAATAATTAAAATCTCTACACCGTGCAAATGGACGGTAGAGTCTCAACAAAAGTGTAAAATATGAACTATTCATTGGAAAACCCAGACTTGGTAATGGATACGGATACAATTGATTTAAAAATGGCTGCGGATATCTGCTTGTATCCGCTGTAAATATCGAAGATATAATACACGACTGCTTCGCTGCGGTCGTGTTCATTTTGCTTGCGGTGATCGTATCGAAGCGGCTGCTGTCGTTCCGCTGGACATGCCTGGGTTCATCCGCAGCGGCAAAAACAATACAAGCAAAATAATATCAAAAGATAAGCCAGAAATCAGAACAACGTTTCCGCACTGAACGTTGGCACTCAAAAGGCTTCCGAATGAAAAAATAGACATTTTATCCTATTTTTGGCCGTGTAGAGATTTTAAGGCATTTTACCCTTGTAGAGATTATGAGGAATAGAGATTTTAAGGAATAGTTATTTTAATCATTTTTAGCCGAGTAGAGATTTTAATGCATTTTAGCTGTGTAGAGATTATAAGGGATTTTAGCCCAGTAGAGATTTTAAGGAATAGAGATTTTGAGGGGATACGGATATGTCGTTCCCTATTCCCTAGGGTTCCGTGACTTTTGCGCCGAGAACATTTGCGCCGCGACTCTTGCGCCGCGACTTTTGCGCCGCGACTTATGCGCCGAGCGACTTTTGCGCCGGGGGACTTTTGCGCCGCGACTTTTGCGCCGGGCGACTTTTGCGCCGCTACTATTATTGAAAAACTACAGCCAGACCTCACTATAGTAGGTTTGTCTGATAGTTGGAAATCTTCGGATATCCGGATCCGACAACCCTACACTATAGTGCATCCTACTTTTATGACCTAGACCTAATTCAGCAGCTACCGTACTGCTGAAGCCCCCATTGTACTTCCTGAACTTCCGACAGTTCCTGGATAATTTTTTAAAGCCAAGGGGTAAGGTTCGATTGTAGTTATTATTTTGATTTTTCAAAATAATGGCGGCGCAAATGTCGCGGCGCATAAGTCGCCCGGCGCAAAAGTCCCGGCGCGAAAGTCGCGGCGCAAAAGTCGCCCGGCGCATAAGTCGCGGCGCAAATGTTCTCGGCGCAAAAGTCGTGATACCTTCCCTAGGCGTGTTCCAAAAAATAGGGCTCCGGTACAAAATATGGAATCGTTAAAATATGGAATGGTTAAAATCGCGAATAGGCTAAAAAGGGGTTAAAATACCGAATCGTTAAAATATGGAAACGTTAAAATATCGAATCGGGTAAAAAAGGGTTAAAATATGGAATCGTTAAAATATTGAATAGTAAAAATGTCGACACGGCCAAAATAGGTCAAAATGTCGAATTCTTTTAAAAAAGGGTCAGATGAGTGCCATACGCTGATTGTAGATGATTTTATCAACTTATCAACTTATTGATGATAAGTTGATTGATAAGTCTCTTATGTCGTAGTTCGGCGCAATCTTTTCTGCCAGAGTTCATTGTATTTTATCGAGTAAAACCGGACCGGATAAATCAAGCATAATCGACCGGATCCGGTCCGGCATGATCTTACGGATCCGGAAAACATAACGCGATCCTGATATGGAAAAATTAGAGTGGTGTGCATTAGTTTTTAGTTAAGACCTAAAGTTTGACCTTACCGTATACGGTACGAAATACCGAAAAATACCGATCAGCCTTTAAATTTTATCGGTCGGATACCGTACCGTACAACCGACACAGAATACCTAAAAATACCGTCGGTATTACGGTAACGCCCGGATTCTAGGTTTTGGCGCCATTTTTAAAAAAAATTCGACATTTTGACCTATTTTGGCCGTGTCGACATTTTATCAATTCGATATTTTAACGATTCCATATTTTAACCCTTTTTTACCCGATTCGATATTTTAACCATTCCATATTTTAACAATTCCACATTTTAACCCCTTTTTAGCCTATTCGCGATTTTAACCCTTTTTTACCCGATTCGAGATTTTAACCCTTTTTTAGCCTATTCCATATTTTAACGATTCGATATTTTGTCCGGACACGAAAAATAGTGTGGCTAAAATAGAGAGGCGACAGACAATCAGACGTTTCACTTTTAGCGTCAGTTTGGGTGCCATAAATGATTTGAACTTTGATATGGTAAATAAATAACCTTTTGATTCTCAGCTTTTTTAAATTTAATTTTAATATTCTTATTAATTTAAATATCGAAAAGTATTTTTGGTAATCTGAAAAGGAAGTGGTGGCGATAAAGATATTACATAATTAACTATTTCCTAAATTAACCAGGCCTGGCAATTTTTTTAAAAGTTTAACTAATTTTAATCATTTTTATTCATTAATTATTTAACTACTTTATATTTATTTTCAACAATTATCATATTATTATTATTTAAAGCTTTCTTTTCCCAAGAATTTGTTAACATTTTTATTTGATCAACTGCCTCATTTTCCTTTTTCAAATAAATTGTCATATTTGTAGAACTGTCGGATATTCTATTTTTTATAAAGATCTTCTTTAAAAGCTGTGTAATATCACGACGGATGAATGGGTGGAAACTAAAAAATAAAAATATTTTTATTAAAAAGGGGACAGATTATTTTATAAGAAAATTCAATTATCATATTATCATTTTTTCAATCATTTTTTTCGAATAATTACCCCTTGAATAATAATTATTTCAATCTATTACTGAAGTGTGTACATAATTATTATCGGGGGGAGGACGGTAGAAAAAATAAGGTATTTTATAAGACAAAGATCATCGATAGTCTATAATGTTGATTATTTATTAAATTAATTAATTTACATAATAACACAAGATTCCGCTAGCATTGAAAAAATAGCGTCACACAAATTATTTGCTTGAATCTAAAAATTAAATAAAAGCTCGTACATTTTTTAAAAATAAACTTACAGCTAATGCTAAATAAAATTTGTCTGGGATCATTTCAAAAACTACCCAAGTTTGTGCTTGAGCTAATGCTACTATAAACAATAATTGGCATATTAATGTTGGGATTAATTGTGAACCAGTTCTGACATTTTCCAAATGCTTTAAATTATTTAATTTTTAGTTTATTTAAGTTGATAGGGGAAATTTAAAGACTTGTTCAACTTTTTGATTAGTTCCTTTATACTTATAAACAACGGCTTGATATTATATACCCGTTTGACTCCCGGTAGATCAACAGTTCTCAGATAAGAAAATTCAAAACATCCCAAGATTTCCCATTAATCGAGAGGATATACACTTATATCTCAGTGACATTAAAACATTTATTATTTATGAACGATATATAAGATGTCAATACATCCCATAAATTAAAAAGATATTTGATCATTTATCTCGACTTCTAGCTGGTGATATTTCCTTTTCATTTTTATTAATTAGGCAGCAAGGGAAGTTATCCTGGATCTTTTTCAGTGAACAGAGGCTAGATCCTAGCTTTACTAACAATCTTTAAAACTTGCCTGGTATCGCTCAGTAAGTTTATAATTTCCAAATTTTTCTTTTTCTTTCGCCGCAATTAATTTCTTTTTATTATATCGTAATAAAAGAATAAATAACTTTAAAAAACATTCAAAAATAAATTTAAAAATATATCAAAATTATCTACCAAAAATTCAATAAACGATACAATCAAAATAATATACGAGCTTGTTGCCGTAACTATTGTGGCACGTGCTCCATTATTTCGGGTTGTTAATTGCTGAGAAATTGCGTTGCATAATACAACAAATATCTAAAAAATTTTTTAAATCTTCTTTTCACCTAAAAAAGTTTTTTTTGGAAAAATTACATTATTAGGGTAATAAAAGATTTTGTGATAAAAGAGGGAAGGGAGTATTGATTTTGAGATAATTTTAACAGCTTAATTTACCCTTAAAGCATTAGATAATAAATAGATTTCAAGAGAATCTACAAGTGATATTTTATGTATAATTTTAAAATCCAAAAATTAAAAAATAATTTTTTTTACTTACCGCAATTGAAAACCAACAAATACTAAAAACTTT